AAACTTGCAAAAAACAAATTGAAACTAAAATACCAACAGGGATAGAGAGGTACTAGAACATTTATCATGATGGCTATTTATCAATACAACCCAATTATTGTCAACCTCACTTGTACTTGGTGGACTTTGCTAGATAACTAACGAGGCCCTATAAGTAATCTACTGCTTGCTAGCCAATAACTACGAGTGGGGGAGCTAGTAAGTGATAAGACACTTTATTGTTCTGGAATTAAAAAATTTACTTCGAAGGTGGAAGAACTTACTAGGTCGCCGGTATTGCGATGTGGAAGGTAAATAGGACACCACTACATTAAAGGTTTACTTAGGATATCTATAGCAAAATCATCATAACATTGTATAATAAAAAGGTGGTAACCAAAGAGTTACTGTTCAGGGGGATATGAGACCAAAACCCGACAGGAAATGAGACGAGATCTTTCAGGTTCTCAACCAGCAGAACCTCTGACAAAAATAACCAACGTAAGATTAAAAATAGTAAAAAAATAACTATGAAAACAACCGCAACGAACACTCTTGATGTTGGTAGAATACGAGAATAGGAACTGAAAGAACAGCTAAGAGAAAGAATCAATGAAAACGCAATACAAATTACACAAGGAAGATTTAATAAGGAAAACATCAACAAAAACTGTTTAAAACTTAGGACAACATAGCCGATTCATGTACTTCAATTTATAATGCACCTGACTAAACTTGTGTTTTGGCAACGCCGCAATAGTTCAGGGGTATCACAATAATTCTCTATACAATTTCTCTATACCCGCAGTCGTTCATCAACCTTTGATGAACTTAGTAGAAAACAATAAATAAACTTGATCAATTGAGTCTATTTCTTCTTAAGATGACCTATATAATCTCTATATAGGTAATCTTAAGAAGAAACAAGATTCACCAGCATACAGTTTATTTATGTTTAAAATAGAGATATGATGACGGAATCTGATCTTATTCTGAGAATATGGATGGTGATGGATCATCTTCTGCTTAAAGTTAAGACCCGTTTACACGGGTAGAGTAATGATGCAAGTACTTGGTAGAGTAGAGGAACTCTACCCGTAAAAACGCTTAGCCCAGTAGAGTAGCAAGTAGAGTGCATAGTAGGTAGCAACATGTGGCAAAGTAACTCTACTCTACTAGCACCACCACCGCCAAAATGTACACTCGCCTGCGCACTCTACCCATGGAACGCGGTCAATTCTGGTAGAGTAGAGTAGGTAGGAGAGTGACATAGGGATGCTGTCATTCCGGCTGGAGTTGTGTTTTGTGTAAATAGTGAAAAATAAGTTCACCGAAGATGAAACTTTAAAACTTGTAGAGATGTATGGCGAATACCAGTGTTTATGGAATTTAGGTAGTGTACACTACAGAAATAAAAGTATGAGGCAAGCTGCGGAGATGGCATCACACACGCTCGGGAACCAACTTTGAAATTGCAGGTCTTGAAACCCAAAAAAATGAGAAAGGCTTCGATAGCTGTTCCCTGTAGCTAAAATATTCAACATAATCTCAAGCTTCACTCTTGGTTTTATTGCATCCCTCATAAACGTGTCTTGTCGTTCCATTTTGTTATGCACCATATTCATAAGTTCTTCGAATTTCCCTGGGGTCATCCTTAGACACATCTTATATTCCAACTCATCCTCTAAGTCTAGTTCTCTTAGCAGAAGAGCTGAGGCCCCGTGTGTATTCCTTCTTTTAAGCCACTCTCTCATCTACTCCTTTCTTTATTTGTTTACCTCATCATCGATAACTTCAGCGTCAGTTACAAATGCATTTGCAACTGTAGCTAAATAATTTTGAATCAATTTTCTTTTTCTTGAATTCATTTTGCACTAAACAAACACCCACTCCACAATATACTAGCATCAGTACTATACTTGTAACTCTCCTTGTGTGAACGGTATCAAGCCATTTTTGGTAGAGTAGCGAGTAGAGTCGACTCTACTGGCTACTCTACTCTCCTCACAACTCTTTCCGTGTAAACAAGTCTTTGTTATCAACTTCCAATAATTGTGAAAAAAGTACAATTTGGCAGCTACTAACGAAATAATTGATGATTCAGATTTTCACTTGAAAGAAAATGACGTTTTTTCTTAACGTCTGACTTTGAAAAAATGTTTAATACCCCACCTCTTAAGAAGAACTTCCATCAAAAATAGCTAGAGTAGAGCTGACACAAAATCCATCTGACATAAATTTTGCTGAAACCTATTTTGCCATCTTTTCCAAAATTTCCAACACCATTTTATTTCTCCCGAAAAATATCTCCAACGTCCAAAAGAAAGGCTACAAAAAAATAATACCTGTAGCAGTGATTACTGATGATTTTATGTAGTACCAGAGAAGGGTAGATGCTAAAAATATGAAAAAGAAGCAAGAAAAAACAAAAACTTGAAGAAAAACACCTAAACTCACCAAGAAAAAGGCAGAATCTGGTGACAAGAAAACAGAAAAAATTAAAATTTCGAAAGGTGTCAAAACAAACCTAAATATTGAGAATGAAGAAACACAAAGGGGAAGGATAGATGGAGCAGATAAAAAAGAATATGAAATAAAAAATGTTGGTTCTGACAGAAAAAAATGAAAAAGAACTAAAAATTTCGAAAGCTAGCAATTTTATGCATTTAGATGTGGACGACTATGAACTAGTTGACTATGTCATTGTAATTGACGATGAGAAACATTTTTCAGGAGTAGCAGAAATAAATTACAGAAGATAAATTCAAAATCAAAGCTATAAAAAAAACAAGATATTGTTGGAGATCACCAGAAACAGATGATATTATTTGTTATGATCGAAAGGAAATCGTTTGTTTAATTGCCCAGTATTATCCCATCAATAAAAGGGGTATTTTTGTACCTAATTTGTAGGTCTTTCATACAAGTTCTTCATCGTCAACTTACTAATCTCATAACCCACATTTTAGACAATTTCCCTTACGTCTTTTCTACAAATATTTTTTCTGTTAATTACATGTCATTATATCATTTCATTTTTCCAATTATCTATTATGTCAGTATTTGAAATTGTTTAAAATATCTAATTTATACATGTTAAACTCTCATTCTCAAACTTTATATTACTTCTCTTGTCATCCTGCTTAGTATCCAATCAGTCAATTTCGCAAAACAAGTAAATTCACTTCTCATAACTCTCATACAAACAATCATACCCTGATCTCTAATTTAACTGTTTTTTTTTCATATTCTTAGATTATTCCAGAATTCATTTAAATTCCAATCATACAATAGAACTTATATTTAGTTACACGAACTTACATTACAGTAATATCCTAGTCATCACTAAAATAACTGCTTTAATTAACCCCCATTTTAATATCATTAAAACACATTTTCATATACCTAGTTTTCTAATTTTTTAGTGATAGATCTCTGGAGATCCCAGTCTCTTATCAGTATAACCGTGCCTAATAATATCAATATAAAATTACATCTCGTTCTTCAGTAAAAAAGTCCCTTTTATTCATCTATTTTTTGTTTTCTTTATTTTATGAATTCATATATAAATTAGTTAACACCTCAGTCTTCAATGATTGGTAACTCAATAACTTACACATCTCAAATTTCTCAGGTACAAAGTGTTCATTTTAACCTAGAGACCCTTCATCTAAGTTTATCCAGTTGAAAGATGTATGTAATTTTTTAATATAATCCAATCTAAACAATTAGTTTACAATTTCTACAGGATACTATAAGTATAGAATATGTTGGTTAGGATAGAATATGCATACTTTTGGTTAGAGTCACATTAAGACCCACACTTCTGGTTACATTGAATGTCCTTTTAGAGATTACTCCTCAGGACCAGTTCGTGTGTCGTTAGGAGTTTACGTTGACATGAAGTGAATCTATATAAAATTATCAAGAATCATGTAATCTATTATTAATTTAATGGATATCATACCAATTTGGATATTTTAAACTGACTTTTGCAATAAAATTGCGAATTTTGAATTACTTGACTTAAACTACTGTTCTCTCGTATGTTTTTGTTTTTTTTTTAATTCAATGTCCAACCATTGAAAAATGACCTCAAAAAACACTAAAATTTGCTGTTTTCTGTATTTTTAATTGTTTATTTGCTATTTAAAAAATAATCATTTTACGACAAAATCACAAGAATAACTTTCGTCTTAAAATAACCTAATTTAAGTTATTTAAAAAGTGATTTTGAAGGAAAAGAGCAATTTTTTATAATTTGTTTAAAAATTGTAAGTAAATACTTAGGTTGCATTGAAAAATTTTCTATAAACTTTTAAACATCATCGATTAAAATTTGCTGCTTGTGGGTGTGAAAGCGACCTTTGTCGTCAAAAGCCACCCGCCTATAATGTGTTGACCTATTCTGAAGTCTGTATCTGCAACTGAAATGGGAATATCTACTCATAAAGTTTAATTCTAAACAGGAACTTTCTACGGTCTGAAAAATCGAGAACCTATCGTACGTTTAATATATTATAGGAAATGGAACAAAGATATAGTGGAAGGTAATATTAATAATAATTATCAGAAAAAAAAATTTATAGATGATTATACAAAAGGTTGTATTGGAGACCGCAGGATCCAAAAAAGCCAGACAAGGCCAGTAAATGATTTAACGACGATAAATATGACGTATAGAGACATTTCGGTACCCGATGGATAAAAATGGTTTTGGATAGAGTTATATGAAAAAATACCAAATTTTTTGTGGTAAAACGCCTTCTGATTACCCATCTAACCTATCTACACACTCACACACTTAGAAATGAATCTTCATTCCAAATGATAAGGTATGCAGAAAATACTAACGTTTTTGCATAAACTCTAAAATATCTATAAATATTATCAATCAAAATAATATAAATTAAATCTGAAAAAAGTTATTGTATTTATATTTATAACTTTTTTGTCTTTTTTGTTAGTTTTTGGTTTCTAAAATATTTTAAACACTCACAAAATTATTTTAAAAGCATTACCTTTTCTTTTTTTGCTGCTAGTTCCTCCTCTTTTCGTCTCTCTTCCTCTTCTCTTTGTCTCTCTTCCTCTGCTCTTTGTCTTGCTTCCTCTTCTTCTTGCTTAATTCTTGCAAGTTCTTCCAAATCTTCTTGTTCTTGTTCTTCTTCGTGTTCACCGTCCAACCGGGCTCTTTCCATAATTGCTTTTAACTCTTCATCTGCTATTGAATCATCGTCCAGTTCATCTCCAACTACTGAATTTGTATCTTCCCCACTTTCAGCTTCAGCTGCTTCTTGTGAGGCAGTGCCTTCTTCTAAAAATCAAAAAATCTTATTTGTTTTATGATTGGTAACTTTTGAGAACATATAAGGACATTTACATTTTACATTTTACTCAACATCATAATGCCGATGAAGATATTGTCCGGAAGACTGCAGCCCCTGTGGCAAAGTAGGAGCAAAAAAACTAGCAGTTATAATCAATTATAAAAGAGGCGAGATTTGACCAGAAAACCATTACAATCCTTTTATTCTACATTTTGAACAACTTGCGGATAAGAACATTTCACCAATTTGGATTACTATAAAAAAGGAAACGTCGACCTACCTAGATTGAAATTTTCGATAAAAGCAAAATATTTATTGAATACAATGGGCACAATGAGACTGGCTGGAAGTAACTGAAGGTAAATCTGTTTTGTACAATAGATGGGAAAGCCTTGACGGCAACCAAATGATCACGCTGAAAGGCGGAGTTGTGTAGATGCAACTGAAGTGTAGGTTGCTGTATGAAGGCATTTTGAAATAAACAAGAGCTTAGCGGAAATAAGGAACCGCTTCTAATTTGCGCGAAAAAATAAGATGGTTCGGGAATGTTCACTGTCGAGACTTTATTCACCCATTAGAAATAATGGGTGCTGATTTATAAGTTTATGTTAGGTGCAGGAAAATATGACTAAAGATGACATGTTGGGAGATGCTTAGGCATAACATGATCCAAGATAGAAACTTATGAAGAAAAGTATATAGGGAAGCCGACCCGGCATAAAAATAAAGGCAACGAGAATGATAATGATGATGATAATGAAGATAGGTTGAATAATAGTGGACTGAATGGTGATCCGTGGGTTACATTATAGTTTGTATCACGTCTTAATTAATAATGGCATTTCTATGTTCTCAAAAGGTTCTATAATGTTCACGAATATTGCTTTTTTTGTTTATTAGCAAAATCTATATATTTTTCACCTAATTAAGTTGTTAACTTATCTATTGTTTATCTGTTTTTTCTTCTTCTGAATTTGCTTAGCAGTTATGCATTTTTCTTTGTAAGTTAATGATCCATTCGGAGTGTAATCACATATACTTCCATTTTTGAAGAGTTTGACTTATTCCATGCATGTTTAGCTCATTTCATATACATACCTATTCTTGCTGTGTCGGGAAAGCATAGCGTTATATCTAAATAGCTCTTTTTTCTTATTTCTATATAGTTCTCCTATTGCCTCAATTATTCCCTGATATGTCTTGATTAATGCTTGCGTATGTGGTCGCCAACAAACAGTAATTTTTATGTCCCCCATTTTGACGGCCATTATCTAACATTTATTTGGCAGTAATATGTTGATTTTTACTTTGTTGTATGGAACAATAGTGTTAATCATAACTGATATTTTTTCATATATTTTCGTTTGTTTAGTAATATTATATCTTGTCGTTGTTTCAATTGTTGTAAGAATCTTGTTTGTTGTAAATATTGTACCATTATGTCTTATATTTATGTTTTAGCTATTTACTTTTGATTTGAAGTTTTATTGTTGTGAAACTTAGTGATTGGTGTAGGCATTCCAAATGTGTTTGTTCGTTTTTTTATTAGGTGTCTTTCTTTGTGTTTTTTTATTGTTTTTTTTGTTTTATATATTAGGTGTTCTGTGATTTTACTATTTTATTTGTTTTTCCATTTTAAGCCTTGGCTACTCTAGTGGTCTTCTTTTTTCTTCACGAGTTTTCCATCAGCCTGGACTTTTATCCTCTTGGGCACTGTTCTGTTTCTCTGAACATTTCGGACATCTCTTAAAAGCTTAGAGATACAGGGCTAATATATAATTGCACTCTCAGATTACAGTAATCAAATTGTATATTGCCTTGCAAGTTCTTCCTTTTTGTGATGCCTAAAATTTTATCATAACGCGAAATTGATAAACGTACATAGTTTGGGAGGTATCAAGTTACTAACCAGTTCGTTAAATGTAAAAGTTTGTTTGCGACTAATAAAACTTCTATGACTATGATGGTTTCTTTGACTATCAAGGAACAAAGGAAGCACACATGAACACAACCAAACTATATATCTTTCAAATACAGTAGGATTATAATTCGAAAGTCCTCACCAAAGTTCGTCAAAACAGAAATAATGTTTAAGGAATATTCTATGATCTAAAATAATAAAATAGGGCGATCCATTATCCTCAATTGATATTGCTTAGTTAAAATAAAATAAAACTGAAGGTAACTGTTTAAAGGTATAAAAGTTATATTGTTGGTTACTGTAAAATATCAGTAGTCATAAACAATATTTAACAGAAGGCTCGATATTTCAATTATTAGTACCAACCTTATTGTTGAGGATAAATATTGTACTAAGTGTATTCGATGTAGCTCAAAGGTATTCAAAAGCACATTTAAAGGTATAATGAAAATAGTAATATGAGTTTACCTTGATCATTTTCATCTTCAATGCCATTTTCATTTTCTTCATCCTCTTTACTACTAACAATTTCAGCTAATTGTTTAGAAACAGCGTCCAATGTTAATTGAACCGCAGACGGAAGTTGGGAGAGAGCTTGTAGTTGTTTTTGAACTGCTCTTAGCTGCTCCTCTAGTGTCATTGAAAGATCTGAGTTTGGATCGACTATGATCTCAGAAATTGGTTTAAATTTCATTCCCATTCCAATAGAATCTTCTAAAATATATTTCTTATATTAAAAATATAGATATGCATTATCAAAGGTGATTTCAAATAATTAGGGTGACGTGAGGTATCTGTAAACGGAATATAAAAAGTTTTATTTTGAAGTTACTTATGAAGTTAGTTGGCCTTCAAACCACTTTCTTTTTTTTACAGATATGTATTAGTAATCTGTTAAAATGTTCTTTTTTTAATAGAAGATGAAAAATGACGTGAGAGAGAAGAGTATTGATATTCTTCTTTCACATGTAAGGGTTCACAGTTACCCTTTAATTTAGGATAACTGTATACCCTGACGGGGAGACTGTGGTATGCTTGGTAAACTTCACTTTGTGGTCATTATAATGAAAGATGTAACTTTGGGATTAAAATAAAAGCAACATTAAAAATGCAGAAACGAAAATTTTATTAAAAACCATGAAACAACAAACAGCTAAGCAATATTTTTGAATCTCCTTAAATGCTCACAAAACGTAACGACGTTTTCATCCTCTCATTTTGGGTCGCTCAGTATTCCTATCTTATCACAAGCGAACAAGAGAGGCTGGTTTTTTTCACGAAATTTCAAGGCATTTCCACGCATCGTTTCAAACATTTGATTACCACTATTCTTTTTACTGCATTAATTTGCAATATTAGTCCAATCGAATGAGTAACTGCTCGTTTGTTTATTCGTACCACTATGTATTTTCCTGGTATTATATATTATCATCAGTGGGTTCTTGAACTTGAGGTTCCGCACCTTCTTCCATATTGTCATTTGGAGCTTCATATGTCATCACTCTCTGCATAAACGACTTCATCGGAATTTTCATCGTCACTACTTAATTTTGATTGTTTCTTGAATGTATTCTTCGAAGATTTTGTCTTAGATTTTAATAACTGTAAGTGTTCTAAATAGGTTTTAGTTGTAATCACCTCAGGAACATCTATACTTTTCCTCTTCCTTAGAGCTAGCTTCGGAGAAAGTTTCACTGTTGCTAGTAGAATGTTCTTACAGTATGCAATGGAAGCTAATGCAATGCAATTCTGGCGTTCTGTAGTAGATCTGCAAGAGGTTGTACATGAGATCATAGTTTGCTTACCCGTAGAACTTTGCTCGTCAGTGATAGTGTCAGGAACATTTTCCTTTTCATAATATAGTTTTAACTTTTCGGGATCAAACTTTTCTTTGTTAATGGAATCTTGATTTAGAGAAAAAATACCTGTTTTTTTAAAAGCCATACACCACAACAGTACTGTGTCAAGCTTTTCCCAAAAGGTTGAAAAATTCGCATTTTGTTAACTGTTTCCCTAAATTTTTGCGATGCCAATCTGTTAACAAATCATCCCATGAAGACTTGAGCCCCTTGAAGACAGACACATCCAAAGGCTGCAATATTGCAGAAGCATGTGGCAGTAATTTAAGAATAGTCACATATTCTGTCATGGATAACGCAATCGTTTGAGTGAAATGTGCGATAAATGACCATCGTAAATCAAAAGAGCAACCTCTTAACAAATTTTTCAAAAGAACATTTTTGAATCATGGAAAAATACTTGTTCAGTCATCCAACCATGTTCGGATACGCATTAAGATGTCTCTGAATACTCATCTGTACCAAACATATTGCCCCATAACCTTTTGCCCTTGTGGAGGATCATAGGTCGCAATATGGATCCGTTGGCAGTAGCACATGCCAAAACTGTTGTTGTTTTCCGTCCGGAGCCTGCAGTTTGCCTTTGTGCTATTTCTCCGATTCCAGTTACAACCTTAGTACGGCTTGGGTCATAATTAAAAGCCGTTTCATCTGTATTCCATACCCTAGCAGGGTATTGTTAAGTTGTAAATTATTCATATAGTTTCAAGCTGATCAAAGAAATCGTAAACAACAAATGGATCGCTTTGTTATCTTACACGTGATGCTTCAATTATCTCAGGTTTCTTAATAGAAAGTTGGTTGCGTTTTGAACAAGTCAGAAACCGATCTTCACCAGGCTTCCACTCTCTAACGGCCTTTGCATATTATTTTGCTGAACATTTAACTGTACAGTGTTGAGTATTTGTTGGCGAGATAGTCCAACCCACTTACTTATAGTTTTTATCCGATAAGCCAAAATGTCTTCATCTTCTTTAGAAGGGCGGTTCTACCACCTCCAGTCACACCTGTAATAGATTTTTATTGTTTTAAAAAGTAAAATCTAGTAGGTACCTAATTTTGTTAATACCTTGTTCATTTCCTGCCGCTGGTTTACCTTTCTACCCATCCACTTTTAATCCGAGTGTCGATTTTGGTACGCATGTTTCATTGCAGTCCACTTTAGTGAAGATTTTCCCGATTTCACATCTCTAATAGCCAGTTCTAATGCTTCTATTGAATACCTACTCCGGACACCACGATTAATAGTCTTTTTATTAAATTTTCTTGGCATTTTTGCAACCAAAGAATAAGTTATAAACAAACTAACCTTGAAACTTTTGGAACCACAGTTTCCCCGGTATCACCGTCCACAGTTGCATCGATCTTGTGTCATGTCAGGGTAACTGACAAAATTATCAAACCATTCTTCTCATACTCCGGTTACTCAATGCTAGATGGCGCCTCAAGTTTACTTTCAAAAGCATTTATTGAAAATTAGCATAGCTTTTGTACTGAACCAAATTTTTAAAATTTAACTCAACTATTACGAAATTTACTTAGATCAAAACATAACGGTCAGAGTTTTAGTTGCCAACTAAATTTTTGTTTTGGTAGCTGATGTCTCCAGAATTTGTCACTAGTTACTACCAGAGATATTAAACAAGTATGTACTGCAAACTTTATAATATCTTGTTAATTAAAAAAAAAACTTAATGGGTGCCACAGTTACCCCAAACCACAGTTACCTCATTTCACCCTAATATTAACTTAAACAAAAGTTTGTGAATCACCATAACATCCGACATTTTGACAAAAATATTAACATGTAAATAAACAAGAAAAAAGCAAACATTTTGATGGTATGATCTTAAAGAAATTTTATATTAAACTTATGATATCTCTGCTTGGTTTATATATTTCAATTTCTAATCCCGACACAAGATACTACGGATATTTTCACAAAAAATAAGATGTGTCTAAACTTTTTGTTTTGAATATATAGAAAATGTCGATTTTTTTCTAAATTTGTGTTGCAAATATTTGAATCTTACCTTTGAACTAATTTTACATCAAAATATAAAATTTAAAAAAGTTTTCTGAAAAGCTTTAGATATCTATATTAAATAATCAAAAAGTTATAACACTTTTTATAACACAAAGTTATAACATATCTTCAAAGTATAAGTGTAAATTTCACACGGAAAAAGTTTTCATATTTATGAAAAATTCGCAACCCTTTGATAATTGAATAAATTTGTTTATTTATTTACAAAAATATAAAAATTATCTTTATACCAAACTTCAGTAATCGAAAACCAAAGAAGTGAAAATTACATCATGCAGTTAAACTTTTACGTCCAATTTGGAACACATATTGAAAGTTCTGAATATAATTTTATGCTGATTGGAGTGTTTCTGGATCATTCCAGAAAATGTTTTTCCGAGATAATACAAAAGTTTATTCTCTGACTTACACATCACATTGTGTTTATTATTGCTAAAAGTCCCAATGATTTAAATCTCAAAGTGAGTTTACTTTAAAAATGTATTATTCTTCCTGAATATATTGTTTAGTTTACCCTGTAAAGTTAGAGTTACTTCTCCTTTACAACAAAGCTTGTCCATTTAGCTTCATTGTACATTTGGTAGTAAAAAATTTAATATAAATTTTGAATTTATTTTTAATTTTGCTTACTCTACAATAAATTGCGGCATTTTTTAACCGCAGCAGTTGAATATGAAATTAATAAAAGTATGAAGGTGTATGTGTCTTCAGGAATTGTTTTTAGAAATAGTAGTGTTAATATGATTTAGTGAATATTATACTGAATAATAACGCTGAAACAATTGATGAGGAAAAATTATATCATCTAACGGGGATAGTGACTTTAAAATCAGCATGTAGATACTTAAATTATTTTCGATAGAATTGAAAAAAAAATAATAAAAAAGGTTTGGAAATGAGAATTTTTTTGTTCGATATTATATCTTTTATACAACCTACAAAAAGGCCAATGCCATATAAATTTGAACAATTTATTTCAAATAAGGAAACTCTGTCAAATTATTTACTAATTCCTAACTGGACTAATTTCAATACCCAATGTGCTGCCAAAAAGTATAATTTTGTCTTTTTGATTAAATTTAAAAATCATGAAACTTTTCATCAAAAAACTTCTTTGAATATCAAGTTTTAATGTAAAATTGATTAAAAAGGAAGTTGTATAATAAATTGTTTTTAATTTGTAAATGTGTGTAAATTATTTAAAAATTATAATACTTACTTCTAAGATTCTCAAAATTATCATCATCATCATCATATTCGCGAACTTCATCACTATGGCATTCAGAACATTCCTCGGATTCGTATTTTTCGTCATCTCTCTCGTAAATGTTATCTGCACGATAATATTCTTCGTTATTATTTTCTTCCAAAGAATCTGGTTCAGCTTGAGAGCCTAAACTATCTAGCTCTGGGGAATGTGTGCCATCCCTCTCCTCTGGGGTATCGCTACTTCTAAATTCTATCTCAGACTTCAAAAAAGTATTTAATGTATTGGACCATATAAATAATTATACAATATAATGTTAAGAACACAGGTATACATTTATTGAACATAGTTCCAATATTATTCAATCAAAGCACTTATGTTAAAGTATGAAAATTCAAATTACAATACGCTATAAATGCAAATTAGCAAGTAAGGAAACCTCTGAGCAAAAACGGATTCTAAATAATGTAGAAGTTAAACAAAAAGACACTCTATGATATTATTTGGACTAAACTAAGGCATTTTAAATCGGACAGATAATTTAAATTTTATACAAAAAACCAGAAGTAAAAGTATATTTATAAAAGTAAAATAAAAATACGATTCCTCATTTCGGGTTCTCCATATGATATAACATATAATAGATACAAGCAGTAATTTTCGTGATATACAATCAGTAATCTTAAATGTTGTTGTTTATATTCACGTGATTCTCCAATATAATCATATGATGGAGTGTTGTATAATTTACATGCATTAGGTATGAAAACAATGAAATAGGAAAACTTATATTTAAAAATGTAGGAGGTTTCAACATCGATCGAAAGGCCAAAGTGCAGTATAGTATAGTACAGTATTATGATAGAAACGAAACAGATAAAAGGAAATTTCATCAAATTACACAATGCAGATATAAGAAAGAAATATGAAGAGAAAATAATAGTGGAAATAAGAAAGAACTACAAAGCAGGAGATATAACAGCAGAATGGGATCGATAAAAATCAATAGAAGAAGCTACAAACAGCCAGATAGGGAATACTAGGAGAAAACAAAAAAAGATTTACCAATATCATATGTTCTAATCATCACAAAAACTGTTTTTTTTTTCAGTTTATAGGGTTTTTATTGCCAACATCGTAGTTTTTATACAATACCAATGTGAATTCACAAAATAAAGATCAACAATAGATGCAATACACACAATAAAACAAAGAATAGAAAAAGAACATGAATAAAAACTAGAATTGGAAATGCTATTTACATACTTCAAGTTCATTTGATTCGAATAAAAGGAAGGAATTAGTGACAGTACTGGAAAAATGAAAAATCTCACATAAACTCAGGTATTTAAAAAAATATGACAAGGATATCTACCTAAATTCATAAGGATGCAAAGACGGGTAACAGATGAATTCATTATAACTAAAGGAGTGAAATAAGTTGATGCTATATCCATAGCACTGTTTAATCTAGCTTTAAAATATGTACATACCTGCTACAAAATATAAACTAAATGAACCTAAGAAACTAAGGTATGCAAAGAATCGCATAGGCAGACAATATTGTTATTGTGACAAAGAACAAAAATATAATGCAACAAATGCTAATAGAAATACAAGAGAAATGAGTCATAATGGGATTCAGATTAAATTATAAACATACAAAAATATTACAATTAGGGAAAAACAATAAAAAAATCAAGATGAGTTTCTCATACATACAATCACACGAGGTGATCAGTTTCTTAGAAATGAAACACTTTATATCCCTGGTAGTGACTGGTGGCTAACGTAGAAAGACTTCTTTAAGGATCAGGAAATCATTTATGAACATTCTATAATTTTAAAATTGAAGAAATAAATCTACGCTAGTTTGAATTAATTAAATAAAAATAAAGATAGTATAAATACCATTAATAATAACACATAATGAAGTAGTCAGAAAAAAATTACAGCTAGTTACATCTAGTCATACAACGAATATTGGAAATGTTGAAAGAAAGACCAGAAGAAAGAAAAATATAGTATGGAAAAGAAAAAAAATCTGCATAAAAGCAGCAATATGGCGTGAACGCCAATCTCATATCTCACGTCTGCTCAGGGAATATACAGCTAAAAGAATAATACATTCAGAAATTTTTGCACTTTATATTTCAATATAAATGCTTAAACTTGTCCTAAATACAGCCTGTATGTTAAAACTAAAGACATACTCCAAATTTGGTAAAAATACGCCCCTGACATAATATAATCAATAAAAAAATGCAAAATAACATAACTTGACTTCGAAGTCACATAAAGTCGAGAAGCCTAAAACTAACAGTAGGTAACGTAAAAAGTAGGGATGGGAAAAAACCTACCGGTTTTAAACCGAAAACCGGTTTTTTTACTTCGCAATAACCGGTTTTATCGGTTTGTTTTTGTGTCCCGGTTATAACCGTTTTTTATTTTTAAAGTAAAAACCGGTTATTAGGTTATTAGGTTTGTTTCGATTTGGAAATCTACCGTTTAAATTTGTTAGCATCACAAAAAATTTGATATTATTTTCAATACGTTTGTATTAAAATTTATTTGATACTTCCCTGTATTGTTTAAAAAATTAAATACTAAGAATAAGAAATCCCGGAAATTTCGTAATTGCAATTTTATCCCTAAACCATAACAATTTACATCATTGGGTATCGGCACGTATTGGTAACCATAAATCATTCACCCACTCTTAAAATTTTATGTATATATGGTAAATATTATGACCTAAATTAAATTCTGATCTGATGTGAGCCGCCTTTGGTCCCATAAAATTTGAATTATGGGTGTTTGGAATAATACGACCTAATTATTTAAGGCCTTTAACTTTTAAACAGCGTTTTCTGCGATTGCCATACCAATAATTACTCTAAATAGTTTCATTTTCATTCTTTCGTTAGTAAACATTTTAATATTGTTCTGAAGCTATTTTCTTGTGGCATTGTAAATGAATTACTATTAAACTGGGAATAAGCCACAATTAAAGATAAAAATACGTTTATTGACGTTTCAATTTCCACTTCGGAAATCGTTCGAAAAAAAGAGAACGATTTCCGAAGTGGAAATTGAAACGTCAATAAACGTATTTTTATCTTTAATTGTGGCTTATTCCCAGTTTAATAGTAATTAATAAACATTTTAACATTTAAACCGCATATTTATAATAGAAGGCGATACTATTGGTTCTTACGTCACATATTTAAAGCATAAACGTGTTTTATTTATATAGGTAATAATGTTCTTTCGATAGTACTAATTTTGATCATATTGAAATCGAGTCGAATGAAGTATCGCAAGCTAAAGTTCATTGTTAATGTAACTTTGTAACCTATTGGATTAAAAAAACCGAAAACCGGTTTTTGGAAAAACCGGTTTTTTTTGGCCGGTTATAACCGCCAGGTTAAACCGTAAGCAAAAAAAACCGGTATAACCGAAAACCGGTGTTTTGCCAAAAACCGCCATCCCTAGTAAAAAAGCTATCATTAATACGATCGAAACTTACAATATTTTGGTCAAATTGGACGCGTTTTTTCTTTTGGCAGAGATTTTCTCCTAGACTGCTTCTTTATAACTATTTTGTAGGCATTTTCCTAAAATAAAACGAAAAACAAGAAAATAATTAATAAACGAAGCGTTGTTTTTAGTCGATTATAAAAAAGGAAATTAAAAAGCAATTTGTTTGGATACAACATCAAATACATTTTTAAAGAAATGCCTTATGACGTTGATTAAAGTTACAATATCATTAAAATAATTTATAAATTTTAAAAAGGAAAAGACAGTTAAGATTTAATTTCACGTACATGGCGTCAATGTAGCCGCTTATACGTATTTCTGCCTAATAGGCTTCGTCAGAACGAAAATTTATTGTCGCTCTGAACGTGAACGTGAAAATAAATCTCTTCTGTATTAGGAAGCAACTCTAACATGGTTTCGAATAGACGCAAATAGCGACATCTGGTATTAAAATCCGTAAACTAATTTTCGAAACCAAATTCAGATTTATGCTTTAAAGCTTAAAGTATAAATCTGAATTTGGTTTCGAAAATTGGTTTACGAATTTTATAAATTTTATTTTGATATTTTCGCTGCTAAATTTACTTTTTAGGTACCTGTATCGTTTTAGTAAAAGAAAAAACAAATTTTAAAAATAAAATAAAGAAGTAAAAAACTGAAGAAGAAGACAAAAGTAAAAGGTTATTAAAGCGAAGCTTCTGTACTGACATTGCATTATTTTCTCTATAGTAAAATAATGAGGTGAGTGTCACTGAAGTAGCGACGCGAAACGGAATAACTGTTTGTGGTTCTCAGTCACAGTAAACATCACTGGGCAATCACATTTTATTCTTTTTGAACTTGTCTTGAGTTCAATCTCTTTAATATTTCCTTTAGGCCTCTCTTGGCTAACTCTTGTTTCTTCCTACAACGAATGGCTATTATGATTCCAAGGGCAGAGGGGTCACTATATTTCTTTTTACTACATACTCATTTAGCAAGTGATTGTCGGTATAAGCAATCTCCCACTAACGGACCAACGGCTTCGGATGGATGAGTTAATAAGTGGTAGGGTACTTTTTTATCCTGGGGTTGAGAAATTGGCCTCAAAGGCGGATGACCCATATATAGTCAACGGCATAAGGATGTAAAAGGCAACAGGAAGCCACTACATTAAACATCGTCGGATTTCCATAGAACAATAACCATGCAAACTAAGGTGAATCACATTGGAGGGGTGCTAAGTGAAAACGCTCAATACTCCGGGAGTATTGGATTTGGGAAGTGTAAGACTTCCAAATTCAGAAGAACTGAAGAGAGGTGATGAAAAATACTAAAAATAGGGCTAAGCTCAGAGGAACAAATTTAAATGGCCAAAGAGACACTAAATCTCAAGTGAGTGTTCGGGCTAGCTTCAATGCACTGGATTGTGGCTTTAAAGATTTAAACAGATAGCAAGGATGATGAGCTAATGAGACAAGAAACGAAATGAGACCTGGTAATATCAAACGTGATACAACTAAAGAAGGTCACTGGGAATAAATTTATAAAAAGAGAACAATAAGAAGAGAAAAGAAGGGCGCCAACTCAACGATAGTTGAGATTTGAAGTAACAAATGAATCTGGAGGTAATACTCTGAAATACAAAAATACTAAATATTAATCTTGTTTTGCTATGTTATATACTGGTTAGTAGAACTGAAATAAAACTCAAAATAGTAATAATAAATATATTTATAA